GAACAGGGTATAAAAAGCCTAGCCCCTTCCTCAGCCCTTCTCTTCTTCTTCACCTACATTGAAGCATGTGATCACCTTTTCTGGTCAGGGCTCAAGCCATGTGGCCCTGTCCAACAATAAACCATCTTTCAAAGCAGCCTCCATGTCTCCAGTGTCTTCTTCCCCACTTGGAGCTGAACCCAGAAGGACATTTCTTTCAACAATATGAAATAGAAAAAGAACAACCTTGTTCTCTGTAGGAATGCTAAGAATCATCCATTAACTAATATTGTGGAGAGTGATACCTTTCATGTAACCTAACAGAGAAAAAAAAGATTTGCCAAATCAGACCTCATCTTTATTTCCTCACCAATCAATTAAACATGACTGTGTTCTTCTCATCTACATGTTCAATATGCAAAATATTACATGTGTATGCAAAGGACATATATTTCTAGCTACACAGACATGATCATGACGTGATGAATTTTGTTCCTTGTGAGCTCTCAAGTTTCCTCTTTCCGCTATTTATTCAAAATAGACAGTGATTAATATATGGATGTACATGTGTGTGTGTGTGTGTGCGTGTTTGCAGGTATATATTTATTTATGCAGGTATATAGCATGTGTACATGTGTGTTATGTATGTGTTTGGGTAAATATACACTTTCTCTTTAGAGCATGCAACATAATTTCATTTTTAATGTGAGCCAGTGTGCTCACAGTAAAAAAAAAGATAATTTAAAAAAGTTAGTTATCTATCCTATCAATGCAGCAGGGAGGTTGGTTTATGAAAGCTTGAGTCAGCTATTGCACAAACAGGAGTAGCAGAATGCCTGAGGTTGTCATTAGAGATCTAAACTAAATGTATTCTGATAAGTATAATTACAGATTTGCAACCTCCATCAAAAAAGTTACCCCTAGGGTTCATTATCTCTCTGTATCATTTCTGTTGTTCTACTGCTACACAAAAGGCACACTACATTACATTCCCCGCCCCCCTTCTCTACATTCATTCTTGGTATCTCCCTTTAAACTTTTTTTTTAAAGTTGCATTTGTTTTTAAAAGGTTGTGAATGGAAATTTAAATAAAGAGATCTGCTTTATTGCTAAGCAATGAGATAATGGAAGCAGATAAAGTAAAGGTTAAGTCTCATATGGTCTCATAAAGACTTATGATTTGGGAACGTGATAGGCAAATCAGCAGTACTGATGGCCAATTAAAGGTGGGGAAGAAAGAAAAGAATGTTTTCTAGATGGGTTGAAAGATATAATTCTTTCTTTTATCTAGTATATTTAGTTTCTTGATCTGAAACGGCTGAGAGATAGAAAAGTAGCCAAACATCAAAACAAGCTTCTCCAGATTAAAAATGAGCATTTTTTTTTAAAAAAAAAAATGGTTTTAGGATCTTCTAATTATCTATTATTACAGCCATACATGGATAAGAGAAAGAATGTTGTAAGAATACATTTATGCAACATTGTCCTCTAGTAGTAAAATTATTTTTATGCAAAATATTTTTCCATTAAAACAAAGCAAAACATAAACAAAAATACTATGATTTTTAGAGTAACATTTATTAATGCAGTGCTATGTAGGTAGTCCTCAACTTACAACCACAATTGAGCCCAAAATTTAGGTTGCTAAGTGAGAAATTTGTTAAGTGAGTGTTGCCCCACTTTATGACTTTTCTTGCCACAATTGTTAAATGAATCACGACAGTTGTTAAATTAGTAACACTTGTTAAGTGAATCTGGCTTTCCCCATTGACTTGGCTAGTCAGAAGATCACAAAAGGTGATCATATGACCTTGAGACACAGCAACGTCTGGAACCTCCAGTCACAACCGTAATCCGTTCCAGGACTTCAGTCAGCACCCGATTTGGTCGTGACTGGAAGCAAGACTGACCACGCATATGGACACACACAAAAAAAGGTGTGGAAGGGAAAATCGCAGCGGCTGTGACTGATCACCACCCGAGGATATGTTCGTGAACATAGTGAAACTTTTAGAGGACTTTTTGGTTGGCACCCAATTTAATCATGGTCAGAAGTGTTTGTAATCCGAGGTTCCACTGTACTAAGCATCTGAATTTTCATCAAATGATCTTGGGGATGCTTTAAAGATCATCTGTGAAAAACGCCACATAAGTCACATTTTTCAGACCATTCACTTTGAATGGTCACTTAATGAACTGTTGTAAGTCAAGGACTACCTGTATATGGGGACAAATAATGCTACAGTAATTGTAGCTGACACATTTATATGTAGTTTTGCTTACTGATTGCCTCATTTAGCAACCATTTGAATTTATGATGGTATAAAAAAACAGCTTTGCAATCACTCCTCACATTTATGAACATTGCAGGAACCCCTTGTTACATGAATGACATTTGCATGCTTCCCAATCTGCTTGTGACAGAGTTAATAGAGAATGCTGAAGTAAAACCATAGGTCATGATTGTGTGATGTTACACTTAATGACTATAGTGACTCGCTTAATGACTGAATAGAAAGTGATGTAAGTCTATCACAGTCACATGATTTTCCATTTAACAAATGTGGTGCTTAGCAATGAAGTTGCTAGTCCCAATTATGGTTGCTAAGTGAGGACTACCTATCTCAAAGACTCTTAAAATCTTAGAAGGAGATTTAAGGGAGGTGGTGTCCATCCTTTCAGGTCATAAAACAAGAAGACTGAAAAAAAGAGACTGTATTGAAAATCAATATTTAGTATCCAAAACAGGAAATATCTTCTTTCTGAAACCATGAAATATATTATGTAAATGATGGACAACTGGAATTATAAACCATCCATGCATGATTGGATTACATCTCACAAGGTATGGTAAAATGTGTTTGGTGAAAGCATGGAGAATTTGATTGGGAAGGCTTTAAGTGGAATCCTTCAGGGACAGAAATAAATCTCCTGAAGTACAGATCTCAGATAAAAAACTTGTACAATTTAGAAAGTGGGTGTACTGAAAGAAAGCTATTAAAAAAACACTGTGGGGGGGAAAATATCACTTTTCACATAGTACATAGCCTTCTGTAACTATATCCTTATGCTCAGAGTAAGAAAAGTAAACAAGCTGAATTTTAATTGTTAGTACAGAGAAGTAAATACAGTACGATCTAACAGATATAATGAAGACCTGGATGGAAAGTTTACCAGATCTGGAATACAACAATTGAAGGATACAGCTTGCTTGAAAGAAACAGAAGCAATATTGTAGAGGAGAAACAGTTGCATTGTACATTAAAACTATCAATTCCTCCACAGATATCAAAATGAATGAATATGGCATGTTTAAAGCATCTAAGTTTTAGAAACAAAAAGAAACCCAAACAGAAGATATGGAAGAGGCTTTCCAAAACCAAATTGCAAATGTTTCAGAAACATACAATCATAGAAGACTTCTATACCATCTGTTGGGAGACAGACTTTGCCATTAATGAGTTTTCTATCATATTTCTGACTTGTCTTGCAGACAACTTTCTCTTTTAGTGGATGGAAGAGGGTATAAAAGAAGCTATCTTAACTTGATACTAACCAATATTGAAAATTCCAACACTATAATAAAATAGGGTGGCCTACATCTGTTTACTTATACTTTCACTCTTCAGGCTTAGTACTACACTAGTGGTCCCTCACTATTCTATATGAATTTAACATAATTTTAGCCTCTAGCTATTATTATAGGACCTCTAGCTATTATTACAAGATTAGCAAGATATTTCATTTGCTCAGTGAAATTCCTCGATATTGCATTTCTAATCCTTATTGATTTAGGAAATGAGATCAGATTTACACGCAACATCTTTAAGTAACAGAACTTTAAAATTATGTAACACTACCTCTGCAAGCATATCATGGAGATCCGCCTCATTGGGACAACAGCCTAATGACCTAATGATAGTGCCAATCTCTCTGAAAAAGAACATCTGATATTAAATATACAAGTCATGCAAATCTCTAATTCTGATTTATTTTATTCAATTGCCTCCCCATCAAGTATGCCTAGTCATAAATTCATAACCACTGAAGCAACAGATAGAGGGAATTTAGTTGTCATGTCTTTAGTGAAGTAGGTTGGCTTATAGATTTAGTAAAATGTATAACAATTATATTGCTTTTAAGATATTCCAGTACTAACATAGAAGTGTTAATTATTCTTTCTGTCTCCAAATACAATTAATTCACAGGACCTGAGCAAAAGAATGTGATGAATCTTTAAGGGCGCATTTGAACATAAACTGAATGTCTACTTAATTGAAATATAGTTCTGCAGTATTGAATTTAAATTCCTCTCATAACAAATCATTAGAATGTCCTAAAGTTATTCACTTTCTAAATGGATTTACACTAACTGGCCTATTCTAGTTTTACCTCATCACTGTGATACATCTGGAGAATCAGTGGAGAGGACTTTTAGCAAAATAGAGCTTTCCCAAAGAGGAAGCAGTAAATCCTATCAGAGATAGGATTAAAAAACTGACTATTAAGAGATTACGCAGTCCTGAGTAGGAGGTGGGAGGGGAGAAGAGGATCAGAGTAGCCACACCCTATAATTTTGTTGGGATATATCTAGTAGGTTAGAAGGTTATAGCTTTAGTTTAGTAAGATTATGTCCATTATTTGTAAATAAATAAAGCACTGGGCTTGGTTGGATTTCATTGTGTCATTTAGACTTGGGCCTAACAATCACCTACCCCAAATTTAGATACTACAGAATAACTCAATCTTGGTATTTATGGCTGAGTTAGGCTAGCCTTCCCCTACTTTGGTACCTCCAGACATGTAAATTTTAACTCCCAGTATTCTCAGCAATGATCACCTCAGAGAATTCTTTGAGTAAAATCCATGCATCCAGGGGACACCAGGTTGGAGAAGGCAGGATTAAGCTGCTATCATTTTTCTTATTAAATGGAAAGGGAGCACTGACATTTACTCATTTGCCAGGAAATGTGAGTGGAACATTAGTGGTCCAAAAACATGGTAAGTCACAAACAAAAAAGATAGAAAGTGTGTGTGTGTGTGTGTGTGTGTGTGTGTGTGTGTGTGTGTTCTCTCTCTCTCTCTCTCTCTCTCTCTCACACACACACACACACACACACACACAAAGATACAGCCAATAATTGGCTTT